CATCTATACTCATTAGGAAATCGGCCATTTTTATTGAGTTCTTGTCTGCTTTTGGTATCAGGATATTGCTAGCTTCAAGGAAGAATCTGGCAGTGTTTCTTCCCTTTCAATTTCATGGAAAAGTTGAAGAGTACTGGTATTTGTTCTTTTCTGAAGTTCTGATAAAATTCAGCAGTGAACTGATAGGGTCCTGGGATTCTCTTGGTAGGGTTTTTACTAGTGTCTCTATTTCATTCCTTTTATTGGTCTGTTCAGAGTTTTTATATCTTCTTGGTTCAGTTTTGGTAATTTACATGTGTCTAGAAAATTATTTATTCTAGATTCTCTAATTTATTAGAATATAAGTTTTCAAAGTAGTTCCTTATAATCCTATAGATTTCAGTGTTGTCTGCTAAGATTTTACCTTTTTAATTTCCAATTGCATTAATATGAGTCTTTTTTTTTTCCCCTTGGTAAGTTTGGCTAAGGGTTTATCAATCTTGTTTGTCCTTTCAAAGAATCAATTTCTTCACTCATTTATCCTCTGTATTATTTTTAGTCTCAATTCCATTAATTCCTGCTCTGATCTTTGTAATTTTTTTTCTTGTACAAGTTTTGGACTTGGCTTACTATTGTTTTCCTAGGACTTTGAGACGCATCATTAAGTTATTTACTTGGGATTGTTCTATTTTTCTAATGTGGTCATTCACAGCTATAAACTTCCTCTTATATCTACTTTCATTGTATCCCATAGGTTCTCAGTTGTGCTGCCATTGTCATTTGATTCTAGGAAATTCGTAATTTCTTCCTTGATTTCTTCTGTGACCCAAAGATTATTTAAGAATATATTATTTAGTCTTCATGCATTTACGTAGCTTATGTGGTTTATTTTGCTGTTGATTTTTAGTTTCACTCAGCTATGATGTGACATTATGTCATATATTGCTGAGAAAATGTGTGTTCTACTGTTGAGTGAAGCACTCTGCAGACGTTAGATAAATCCATTTGTTCAATAGTGTAATTCAACTCTGATATTTCTTTATTGATTTTTTTTCGTCTGGTTGACCTGTATCTATTGTGAGAGTGGGATACTGAAGTCCCTCATTAAGATTGTATTAATGTTTATCTGAATTTTTAGGATGATTAGTATTTGTTTTATGAAACTGCATGTGCTGGCATTTAGTACATATATATATACACACACACATATATATACGTATATATATACATATATACGTATATACACACATATATATACGTATATATATATACATATATATAAAGTCCACCAAAAATATGTATACACATTTCAGAAAAACAGTATGATGTTTTTTCAAGAAATGGTGTTACCCTTGTATGGGGGACCTTAGAGGATGTTGTACAGTATATTGCAGAAAACCCACTACACTGCTGACCCTTAGAGAAGAAATTGAAAATGCATGTGCAGCAATCTCAATGACCAAGATTACTCCAGCAGCAGTTCACCATACCAATAAATGTCTGGAAGCTAAGGCCACCACTTTGAGCACCTCTTGGAATTGTGGAGGCCAGAGGTAATTTGTATTAATCTCATGATGTCTCAATAAATTTAGTATTAAAATATTTGTACACGTTTTTCTTTTCCTGGTGTGTATACGTTTTTTAAGCAGACTCTGTTTATAATTGTCATCTCTTTCTGTTGAGTTGCTCTCTTTACCAGTATGTGGTAACCTTTGTTTCTTCTAATCAATTTTGGTTTGAAGTTCACTTTTCTGAAAATAGGATAGTTACTCCCACTTGTTTTTGGGTTCCTGTTGCACAGAGTATCATTTCAGTCTATGTGTTTCTTTGTGGATAAGGTTTGTCTCTTGTAGACAACAAATAGTTGAGTACTCTTTTTTGATCCAATCTGCCAGTTTATGTCTTTTGATTGGGGAGTTATGATCATTTACATGGAGAGTTATTACTGAAAAATATTTACCAAATCCTACCATTGCATTATTTTTCCATGGCTAATTCCTCTACTTTTTCTTTTTATTTAACTTCTCTTTAAGGTAGATGTATTCTTTCTCTTGAGGATGTCTCTTTTTGAAAGAGACTTTCAGACCAAATTCCCCTTTATCTGGATCAGTTCAGAAATTTATTTATTCTTAGTTCTCAAACACTTTTCAGTGGCTTCTGTGCTCAATAACTGTTCCAAGTATAGTGGTTAGACTGACAAATATAAACAGCAACAATAAGAAAACAATAAACAAGAAAAGAAATGAGATAGCATTAAGGACTCTTCAGAGAATTAAAGTGTGTGTGTGTGTGTGTGTGTGTGTGTGTGTGTGTGTGTGATAGAAAGTGAGGACTCAGAGAGAACATTCAAGATAAGTTGGAAGAGTAAATTGTGAGGCAAAGAAAGGGAGTGGGCTCAGACTCAATGTGAGGAATACTCTCCATGCACTGAAGTAAGAGAAACTGACTCATGGCTGGTGAGACATGGACAAGGGGCCAGACAGGCCAGAGATGGGAGGTAGGCAGGGGTTAGAGGAGCTAGAATTTGAGGGTTAGGTTTTGTTTTCAATGTGGTGGAAAGCCTTGAGATTTAGGCCAGGAGTAGCCTATTTTGACATTAACAAAATCCGTTTAACATGTCTATTGAAAGTAGACTGAAGGACTATTGTGGAAGCAGGAAGATCCCATAGGCTGGAGCTCTCTGGAACTCAGAATGGCTTTCCAAAGCCTCTAACAGCCTGGATCTGACTGAATTCATAATAGGCTACAAGGAAGGACAGCCGAAGAGGGGTTTTGTGTGGATTCCTGGAGTTTGGGTTTGAAAAGCTGGTAGGGCTCATGGGGGTTATTAAGATGGAGGAGGCAAAGGAAATCACAAGGTGTTGGTGAAGGAGGGAAATAAAAATGTTCTGTCTGACCTGTTAAATGTGAGATAATTCTTAGGCATCCGAGGAGTCACGTCAATAGGCAGCTGAGTCTAGATGTCTGGGATTCTGAGGGAAGATAGGGCAGGAGATAAGGATGTGGAAGTCCAACCAGTGGTATATGGAGCCTGTGCCAGGGTGGGATTATGGGGAGGTCTGTGAAAAGAGAAAGGAAAGGCCCAGGCAGAGCTGGATGTCCGCCACATAGAGTCAGGGGGGAAGAGCCAACACAGGCCCTTGGAGGAGCACTATGAGCATCAGGAGGAAGCAGAGATGGGTGAAGCCAAGAAAGTATTTTAGCAGGAGAGAGCGGACCACAGTGGGATGGTTGCTGAAAAAGTGAAATGAGTATTTGGGAAGGATGCCTGACTTCGCCACATGGAGCTCAAGTGTGATTTTTGTAAGACTAGTCTCATGGGGGTTGTGGGAAGGCAAGAGGCTTGTTTGGAATAGGGTCAAAGGTGAAATCTGAGAGCAGAGACATTGATTGCCATTGACTGCAGGTTTTCATGCTGTTCAAGAAGATATTGAAGTGTGTGTGTGGTGGGGGAAGTACAGGTTCCAGGCTTAGAGATGACCAGGGAAATGGGCCCCAGAGCACCAGGGGCACTTGCTGAATTGGGAGAATTCTTGGACAATGGAGGGTCCTATGCTTCTGTCCTTGCAGGGTCCTCTGTCCTTGCAGAAGGTGCACCAGGTGGTCAATAACACCAGGCATCTGCTCTCACTGACTCACTAGCCAAACCCCTCAGACACTCCACCAGTCAGGATTCTTGCCAGAGAGACGAACTTGGAATGTGGCTGGGTACCCAGACGGGCCTGCACATCTCTAACCATGTTCCCCTACTCTTACAAATGGCCCCAAGGGAGGTATATCTACTGGAAGTCACAGTCAAAGAAACCCTTGCTACCATAGGGCTCTGTGCCCTTGGAATGCTGTGGGTTCCTCTTTCATAATCCACCTCATTTTTTCTGTTTCCATTTACTTTCAAACAGCTTCAGTTTCATTGTCTTTCAAAGCACTCTGCTTATTTCTTCCACCCACTTCCTGTCTCTGATTCTTGCTTCTTTCCTATCATGACTCATGCTGCCCTGTGGCTGGGTCTGGTTTCTTCTTGGTTACACGTGCAAATCCTTTAAGCCATGAAGCCAGATGACTCAGTGAAATCCCTAAGGGACTGGAAGAGTTAAGATGTGTTTCTTTTGGAGCACTGTGCTATCATCAAGCATTTATGAAGTGCCTTCCCGAAGCTGTGGTGGCAATGAAGCTGAGAAGTGGGCATCAAGCTTTGCAGCAGACAGGTGAGGTTTTCACTCTGCTGCTTTCTTGCAGAGGATATTTAGCAAATAATGCAACTTTCTTACATGGGGTCCTGTGTATGGTTACACACGCTGTGCATTGGAAGCTGCATTCACAGAGAAGTCTGCAACAACAGTACCTCTTGTGGGTGTGCTGTGGGCAACACCCACATGTAGCTGCTCTGGTTCAATGAGTCTATTTCTTTCTCAGTAAAACAGACTTGACAATCTCATGCTACAGGATTGGGAGGAGAATCATGCATGTAAACCTCCTGATTTGATGCTTGGCACAGGGGATTAGTCAAACACGTGGCACTATTATGTGACTGGATGCTGAGAGATGTAGGAGTGGAATTGTCTTTTGTCAAATTTATATTCTAGATCAAAAAGCAAGACTAACTCCTAAAAATAGCTGCTGGGAGGGGTATGATGCTGGGACAATCACAGTAAGCACTTCACCCACTTCTGCTCACTGTCACCAAACCAGTGCATACTGGCCAGGCACCTAAGGCCAGAATAGACGGCTTTTCTGCTGAGGGGTTTTCTTGCCAGTAGTGCCTGCTGTGCCACCTATATAGCAGGTGAGAAATGCCAGGGAAACCTGTCACCTCAAGTTAGGGGTGAGAGCAGCCCACCCATTTTGCTCCCATTTCCTCTCCAACCCTCTTTAGTGAGAAATCAGGAGTGCTTCATACCCAGATGATATTTTGGTGCCAGCTTCCTACCATCTACCTGGTGATGCTGACAACAATTGCTGCCCTCCCCAGTGATGCCACACATGTTTCCATGGTGACCCAGCACTAGAACTGTAGCTTTCTATCTAGATTTCTGGAGGGTTGCTATCCAATCTCCTTGGATTTGTTCTTATCTCAGTAATGCCCAGGTCCTTGAGCAGGTCACCTGACCTACTCAAGTGTTAATTTCCTTAGCACAAACATGGAGATAATGGAATCAACTCTATAGAGTCATTGGAGGATTAAATAAGGTGGTCCATTTAAACATGCTTAGCACAGGCCTTGACATCGAGTAAGTATTCAATCAATGTAAGTTATGATTGTTGTTATTGCCAACAAAGCCACTTAATTATGTGTTGTGCTGCTGTCTGCTTTTGGACCCCTTTTAAAGCCTTCTCTCTGGAGGTTTTGTGTAACTGCTGCTAGACCATCTGGGTACTGCTGGCTCTGAGACACTCACTACAGTTGATTCCAAATCTTTCACCCAGTCCCCATTATTGCTCCCTTCCTTACATGTTTTGGGTTTACTCCTTGCTCCTCTTTGGGACACTTGCTCCCATTTTGTGCTTGTTCCTTTTTCCATCCCTGGCCAATATCAGATGATTGATAGGGGTGGTGATGGTGGTAGAGGGTGATATAAGGGCTGGAGAACTATGGAAACGTGCTGAACTTGGGTCTGACCCAACTACATTCTCAATACCAGCTCAAAGCACAAGAACTGAGGACAGCAAACAGCTTCCTGGTGCACAGGAGGTGGAAATGGCCCAGGATGGGCCTGGCCTCAGCAGCTCTCCAGGCTCTTCCTTCCTTACTCCTGTATCCAAGACCAGCCCTGAAACAAATGCTTGCCATGTCCTGTCTCCAGTCCATCCTTCACCATGGTGTACCCTCGAGCTCCTTGGACAGACACTTTTACCACTGTGGGGGACATCCCTGACACCCCTGGTTGTATGCTCCTACAATATTTATATTGTATATATTTATAGGCTTGTGGGTTGTAGATCTTGGTAAGAGGAGGAGGGCTAGGGAGGTAAATTAGATGCCAACAATGCAAAGTTGAGCTAGGCAGGGCTCAGCTCTCGTTAATGTCTCTGTAAATCATATGATGGCTTTAGGATGCACAACATTTTTGTATTCATCTCCATTTTTCAAGGAGAAAGCATTCAATCTGTCAGGTCAGTTCTTTATAAATGACCTGTCAGATATAGATGCATCAGGTTGAGTCTCCATGGACTCATGATCATACCAACAAGCCAAGGTAGGCTTGACACCTCCTGGTAACATCCTATTTAGAGTTCTCATTGATAAGCAAAGACATGTTGAGCCCAGCCATGGACCAGAAAGTGTCAGGGTATGTGGCTGCAGAGGCCAGCAAGAGTCAGGCCATGTGCCTCTCCACAGACCCCATTTGCTTGAAGTAAACACTTAAGTAAGTAGTTACCTGGTGAACACGGTCAGTGCAGCCAATGCAAATGTGTCCAGAGGGCTATGGTCAAACATCAGAGGGGACCAAGAAGACTTTGGAGAAATGTAGTGTTTTGTTGTTTAAAAATAATTTTGTTGGGCTGGAGATTTAGCTCAGTGGTTCTCCTGCCTGCCTCGTAGGCACAAGGTCCTGAGTTCGATCTCCGGTACCAGAAAAAAAATTTTTGTTAAAAAGTTGTGTTAAGACATGTTTGGTGGTACATGCCCTTAATCCTAGCTACTTGGGAGGCTGAGGCAAGAGGATCTCAAGTTTGAGGCCAATTTGGACAACTTTATAAGTCCCTGTCTCAGAAAAAAAAAAAAAAGGGCTGGGGATGTAGCTCAATGACAGAGGACCTCTGTGTTTGATCCCCAGTACCACACACACACACACAGACACAAACACACAAAGTTTTGGTAAAACATATGTAAAAAAACCTGACTTCTCCCTGTGCATGGCAAATGGAAATCACCCCCACACATGGTGGATAAAACATGCCCCTGCATGGCATTTCTCCCTTGGATTCCATGCCCAGGCCACAGCCACTTGCCAAATTGAACTCTTCCCTGTGTTTTGTTTCCCTTCAGCACAGGGCAGCAGAGCTGCCAACCAACTAGCTGACCTGGTCTTGGATGAGGCCAATGCCCCAGGACAGAAAGTTAGTCCCAGAGAGTCAGTAGCTCCAGGGAGAAATAATGGATTGGGCTAGGAGTGCTAGCCCCAAGAAAAGCTCACAGCTATTGCAAACTACAAAAACAGCATGGGCTTTACTCAGAAAGTGGCTCCTTAGTGGTAGGCTAGAGTTGGAGAAGAAACCCTGTGCAGTGTTTGCTGTATTGATAAAGTAATCAGGTGCCATTTTTGGAAGAGGCAAGTTGGTTAAGATTGAGCCACTAGAAAAACTGCAGAACTCCATTTCAGGATTTCCAGTTTTACCCTCATATAGTGATTGGGTAAGAGCCAGGAGAGACAGTCGCAGAAAGGGTGTGGGCTAGACATAGAACCCCTGAAAGGCTTAAGCTCAGGTTGGAAGGACATGAGCTCTGGCCTCCATAGTGAGAAATCAGGCCTGGTGAGTGTGGCTTTCAGTGGTGGCTGGATCTGAAAATGCCAGAATTAAGTCAAGCCATGTGCCTGAACCCTTGACCTGCTGCCTACACCCAGAAGAAACTAGTGGACTGATGGCTGTTACCATCTACCAATTGAACAAGGACATGGCTCAATGTGGACAGTTGCTGCAGGCCAGGGTATATGGAACAGGGTTCCTGGAGCAGTTGGGGACACCTCACAAACCCACAAGCTGTAAAGCTAGGTGGAGAAAATCTTGACTTGCTGGATTCCAACCAAGACTGCAGATTCTAGAAAGAAACCACTCATACAAAAAGACAGTATTTTTTTGGACTCATTCTTTCTTTTTCCTTTTTTTTTTAAGAGGGTGGGGTGGGGTTTTCCTTCTTTTTTATTTTCTTCTTTTAATCCTTTTTCCTTTTTATTTTCCTTCTTTTTCCTGTTTGTTCTTTTTATTACTTTTATCTAATATTTTAAATTTCCTTTTACTCCTCAACAGGCTCCTTTACTTCACTTTTCCCTCCTCATCTTCTATTCATTATTTTTTTGAATTCTATTTCTCATTCTCTAGTTTCCTATCCCTTTTACCCTTAGCATAATTATTAAACTTAATGAATCTTTAGAGAGTTAACTCTGTACTATTATTGATGAATATTGTTCTATTATTAGTGGAGGTATAGTTGTTGCATTTAGATGTTTACTGTATGTCAATAATTGGTTTGTCTTACTGTTTATGCTACCATTATAGATCTCTTTTCTATGGTTAAGGGTGGAACACTACTAGTTCTTAGGTATGCCAATATCTAATTTGTCTTTGATGCTGTAACTGTTGATGATTTTATTGCTTTTGCCAAGGTGGCATAGTTGTTGCCATTAATTGGTTTTCTCTGTATGCCAATATCTGTATTGCCTTTGTATCATTAGTAACACTACAGCCCATTTCTGGAGAACTGGTTGCTGCATCAAACACCCTACAGCCTCCCTTATCAAATAAATGGAAGTGGTTGGATCCTGGGACAGAAGCAAGGGCCTATAGTCAACCACATCCAGAGTCCATCACTGAAAAGCATACACTAATTAAAGAGGTTTCTATATTAGCATCATAGTCCTCCACAATAATCAATCCACAAACCTCACTATGTGCAAACACACACACACACACACACACACACACCACCACCACCACCACCACCACCAACAACAACAACATAACAAAAATATAGAAATGTCAGAAGACAAGGCAGCAAAATGTCTCTAAAAACTCTCCCAACTTCCCCAAAGCTGATCTGTGGCACAATGAGGGTGAGGACCAAAAGCCACACAGCCACATTATTTGAGAGAATAATAAAGGAAATTTAAAAAATCAGATTAACAAGGTGCTTGAAGAGTGCAAAGAAGATATAAATAAACAGATAAGGGACTTAATAAAATGATCAGTGAGTTTACAGAAGATACTAATGAAAAGCTAGCTGAGCTAAACAAAATAATACAACACACGAATAACCAGTTTAGCAAAGAAGCAGGGTCCAGGAAATGGTACCAAACAGAAATTCAGGACATTCAAATTACTGAAAGTATGGACAGCAGAAGTGACCAAAGTGAAGACAGCGTGTCAGAAATAGAAGAGAGGGCTTCAGTTGAAGATCAATTTTTCAGAGGTACCTTAAAAACAATATGAGAACATGAAAAATGAATGCAACAGTTGCTAGATTACTCAAAGAAGACTACTCTAACATTAATTGGGAATAGTGGAAAGTCAGAAAACAGCATGAATGGTATAAAAAACAACTTGTTTTGAAGTAGTAGCAGAAAATCCCCAAATATGGGGAAATTAACATACAGATAAGCAAGGCAAATAAACCTCAAATATCCAAAATCAGGAAAGAACTTCTCCACAACACATCATAATCAAAATCCCAGATATCCAATACAAGGACCAGATCTTTAAAGCTGTTAGAGAAAAGCAATGACTCACTTATAAATACAAGTCCATTACAATTATAGAAGACCTCTCCATACAAACCTTAAAGACCAGAGCTTCAAGTGAAGTGTTTTAAGCCCTAAAAGAAAACAAAAATTTCCAACCTAGACTGATATATCATAAAAAGTATCTTTCAAAATTGAGGGTGAAATGAGGTCTTTTTGTGACGAAGAGCACCTGATGAAAGTCACTGCCACCAAAGAAGCACTCCAAAAAATTTTCAAAGATTTTCTACAAAGAGACAATGAAGCTAGCCATGCCAAAATACCTAATAGAATGAATACACCAAGCAGGGCCAGCAGTTAGGAGAAAAAAGTGGGAATCAGCAACAGGAAAACAATGCAAGGACAGTAATAACCGATTTCCCAATCACAAGCACAGATTGACCGAATGGATCAAAGAACAAAGTTTAATGGTATTCTGTATACCAGAAACACATTTACCATCCCCCAACTCAAAACTTTTGACTAAAAATCAAAAGATAGAAACAATATTCCATGCAATGGGATCTCAAAAACAAGCAAGAGTAGCTATCCTATTTTCAAACAATGTGAACTTCAAGCCATAACTGATCAGAAGAGGCAAAGATTATTACACATTGGTTAAGGGAACAAACAATTCAACAAGAAGAATTAAAAACTATGAACATACATGCACTGAACATCAGTACACCCAATTTCATAAAACAAACACTACTAAACATAAAAGATCAGATAAATATCACTATGATTATAGGGGGGACTTCAATACCCCACAGTCACAAGTAGACAGATCAATAGAAAAAATCAACAAATATCAGAGTTGAGGAAAATCTTCAAACAAACATACTTAATATATACCTATAGACTATTCCACCTAGCAACAGCAGAATATACTTTTTTCTCAGAAACACAGGGAACTTTCTCCAAAATAGACTACATATTAACTAACAAAGCAAATTTAACTAAGTATAAAGGAATTAAAATTATACTATGTATTTTATCAGATCACAATGCAATAAAACTAAAAATTAATGACAAAAGAAAACAGAAATTATGCAAATGCATTGAAATTAAACAATAAAATTGTGGTGGATTGACTAATGGTCAACTTGTAATGCCCAGCTGAACTGAATCAGCATGGTCTGGGTGTGGAGGATCCACCTGAAGATTGTTACCAATAGCCATAAAAAGAGCACTGGAGGGGAAGATCTTGGCCTGTTGATTTTCTAGGAGAAGCTTGCTGCGGATGGTTTTCCTGATGCAAACTAGGCTGTTCCCGTTGGAGGAGCTTAGGGCCTCACTGTTGCTGGGAATGGCTGTTGGGGAGCCATTAGGGGAACTCTGATCTTCTCTGTGAG